AAAGATGGATTATTGTAACCATAAGATGTACGATGAAATGGCACTTTAAATACGTAAATAACATTTTAAGACAAATTTCGTTTTTAAAGTCCTTGGTATTTCTATTTATGAACCCAAGACATCTAAGAGCTTTCGTTCAAACATACTCAACATGGGACGAAAATAGTAAATTTGTTTGGAATACCACTCCTAGATCGTTAATAGTACTAATTTCCTCAATATGATCATTAAAAAAGTGATATACATTATTCAACTAATTATTTGAACGGGAAAAACACATTTTAAAACATTTTGAGGGATTTAGCATCAGCCCACTTCACCGACACCACTCACTAAATCTATTAAGATCATCCTATATTTTCAACGGTCATTAGCTGTTAGTGCATAACCATACATTAAGATCGTCAGCAAGGAGTTACTATATTTAAAACAAACACCAGCTATATCCAATGTAAACATGGCAAACAACAACGGAAACAAATGTTTTACCTTTTTTCAGTCTATTTGGAAATTTTAAAATATTTTTAAAAAATGTTTCTAGTAAAATTGAAAGAAGAGGTTACATTTGAACATATCATAGATTTGATTCATGATGCTGAAGTATCATGACACATATAAGCAATTTCTTATTTTGGAACTGAAATATCTACACAATATTTCAAGTTATTTCAACATTTACCACTGCACTAAAAGACATAAAAAATATGCTATTAGACATTAGTATACAACTACGGATTGAAGAAAAATAAGTTCTAGAAACACAATTTCCACATGTTCATATTATAAAATTTAGGATGAGAATGATTTGATCGGAAAGGAAGGAATCCTTTAATAAGCATGATTTTTCATTAATTTTTATGACAAGTTTCTAACAAGAAAAACTAAAAAAAATTGACCGTGATATAATATATCTTGATGCTACTCACGGAACAAATGCATATTATGGCATTTATTGTATACAGTTGTCACTGTTGATGAATTTGGATCCGGTTTCCCAGTTGAATTTTGTTTATCAAATCGATACAATGAGCTAATTTTTCAATTATTTATTGAAAAAACTAAATGCAATGTAGGAGTTATTTACTAATGTTGTATATGGCAAATGATGCTTATTCAAATAAAATTACGATATCATAATAATATACTAATATTAACCATTTAACGCTACCTTAGACTATTTTTCGAAATAAATTATATTCTTGAGGCTTGAGCACATTCCTACACCACTCACTATTGTTTATTGTTGACTAAAACCCTAAATTAAATAACACTACAGAGTACAGAAAAACAATACTACAAAACTTACTTGATCTGTATTATGAATATTTGAATGTATGATTGTTTTAGGAAGTATAGTAGTCTTTAATCAATGGACTTCTTTATCAGTTCATACTTATCAATATTGTACCTATAAAAGGCAAGATAAACTGCCACCTGTAAATGTGAACATAAATGTACAAAATATATTAAAGTATATACTGTATACTGGAACACAGTAGGTACCTAGTTAAATTTTTATTTTTTTTTTAAATGTAATCTGTTTCAGCATATTACATGCTATAACAAGTCTGATTACTTGCTCTAATTACAAATTTTAACATGTTTGTGATATATTGATAATGATATATCCATGTAAATATTTGTAATGAATTATTTTTAGTGGTAAAATTTAAGTTTGAACATCGTCTTCACTGAAGTCTGATAGTAGAAGATCTTTCGGTAGACATGGTTTTAAAAACCGACTTTTCATTTGGTTTCCCATGTTGTGCACCATCGGATGCATTGATACTGTTATAGAAGTTTTTGAATTGTGTTTTTATCACAGATATAAAATACTAGATAGCTAACTTGTCTAAATTAGGGTAATCGATGTTGAAGTTAGCCACCATATGCGTGTGGGTCAATGTTTACATAACTATCTTATCAATACTGTAAGATAACATGATATTATTCGCACAGAATAAAGTTTTTTTATAAAATATTAAAAAAATATAAAAATATATATTTCTATTGCAATTGTTTTTAATGAAAACACATAATATTATCCTTATTTAATATTCCATCGTCAGATATAAAAGTATTTTGACCATCAGATTGTTATCATGTCGTATTGATAAGACAATTATGTAAACATTGACCTACACGCATATGGCGGATAACTTCAATGTTCGATGCCTTGTTAGCTATCTAGTATTTTATATCTGTGGTTTTTATCCAGTCTTGGAGAATAGGGACTTCAGTATAATTATGAATTTGCCTATTCTTTATGAACCATAGGGCTTTTAGACATATTCTCAAAAATTTGTTTGGAAGGAATAGGATTTTCTTAATAAATGGTAAAGAAGCTGCTACTCATATTGGTCAGGCATAAGTGATTAATGGTCAGATAATTATGGTATACAGTAACATTGATGATTTAATTTCGAGGGTTGATTTAAAATAAACTAAGGGATATAATGTATTAATTCTTGCATATCCTTGAGTGAGTTTTTTATTTAGGTGAATTTTCAACATAACTTAAAACACACACCTAGGTACTTGAAAGGTTTATTTTGATTGTACCATTGTATTGGTTGGTTACCTATGAGTTTCTATTTTGTATCTTTGTATCATTTTAGGACAGTAGAGGTTGAAAATGGTTGGACCTAGAACTGAGCCTTTGGAGGACTCCAGCTTGTATATTGTGAGGTTGAGAAAAGTTGGTTCAAATTCTTATTTGGAACGTTCGATCCGATATAAAATAGATTATGATTTTTAGTAGGTAATTGGGAAGAGCAAACGAATTCAATTTTGTTCTAGTCCATGGCTCTAACAATGTTGTTTACGTCCAGGAAGTCAGCCATTGTATATTATTTCATTTCGAAGCCACTTACAATTAGTTCTGAGATTCGTTGGATTTGATGACATGTAGAAAGATGCGTTATGAATCCAAATTTATGATTTGTAGGAATGATTATAATCTATTAAGCAGTATACTTTCATACAGTTTTGATAGCAATGGAAGAAGGCTAATCGGTCTGTAGCTTGAGGGAGAGTGGCCCAATTTTTCTGATTTATGTATTGGAAAATTATGATTGCATGTATGCAAGATGTCAGAAATTTGCCGAAATTCAGGATTGAGTTATATAGGAGAATAGGTAGAGTAAGTTGAATTTTACTTTGAGTGATAGGTTTTTTTGAGATTTTCTTTATGATAAGGTCGTAGCCTGGGCTTATTTGTTTGCTAGTTTGATTATTATTTGTTGTATTTCATTGAAAAATGGAGGGGAAATTTGGCCATTTGGGGTTTTATCAACGATGTTTTGTTAGCTGTAAATCGGGTCTTCTTTAAAAAGGTGAAGTAGAATCTGAAGTGGTTATCGAGGACATCGGTTTTTTGGGCGTTTGTTTCGAATTTGGTTGATCCATTTTTCATAGGGGTAATAACGTTATGTTGCTTAAGTAAGCGTTTAGTGGCTTGATACTTTCAGTCTTGATTACGACGCTAGTACTAAATTTATACAGTTTTACGTTTTCTTCTACTTAACATGCACCGCGGTGGTCGCAATAACCCAAAAAGATCCAGCGTCTAGCTGGTTCTCACAGCATCCAATCAAAAACAACAAGGTCGTCAACGTGAAGGACTCCCTTCACCAGTACCGAGAGAAAACTGTTCCATCTCCGGTGACTCGTTTACAAGTAGCACCTTAGAAACCTCGAGCCTAAGCTCACGCTCCACGCTATCTACTCCAACACCTTAAGCCGTTCTGAGGGACCTTATACCACCAATAATCGTGAACCCTATATACTGTGCCAAGGCTGCACCTATGATCATGCCTCCATTACTTAAGACAAACTCACAGCCCAGTTTAGTCATCAATGCCGAACCTACATCAAGGCCTCCGCTGCATAGAATTCAAACCCAAAAGACATCACACCATCGCTAACTACTCCTCAAACATCTATAAAATCTACTGGCAACAAATTAGATATGGATATGCTCAGGCTTTGTCACCGTATAGTATTCATATACTAAACAACTGCAAAAATCAGATATCTACTACATCTAATTTTAAAGACACTATCATGTTGGCAATATCAGCCATAGTTCACTCATAAATCAATATAGATGTACAACTAAAAATCCTCTACTGGAATTGCCAAGGACTGGGCAACAAAAAATCAGAACTCATCTATTTCATACGCAACATAAGCTCCACATCATCTTACTCAGCGAAACCAAACTCAAGCCCTCAGCAGCATTCAAACTCTATAACTCCCACATATACAGAAACGATCGACCCACTCGACTTGACCTAAGAGGAACCGGCATAGCCTAATAGCCAACAAGCTCGTTCACTACGAAGAGCCTATTCAAACAAACTAACTAGAAAACACAAACATTCACATCCAGTTAAGCAACCGATTACACGTATTTACATGCGTAAATACTCGGAATCCAGGAACAAAACATAGACTCGACAATCTGAAATCCAAAGTAAAGAGGCTCATCCAACTTCATAGAGACTCCAAATAGGACTCTTTCCTCGGAGAGCTTAAGCCTGGGGACTCAAAAATATTTTTAAAAAACAAATCTTAATTCAACAGAAGATCTCCAACCTCTCACTAAATGGCCAACATGGACCAGTCTTTAATTCCCCAGGGAAAGTCGAACTTGGCCACGTAATTCAACATCAGCCAATAACTTACTTGTCGCCAACTCAATACGGATTCTAAAAACATTAGCAAAACCCCCAATCCAGACGGTGTCTCCAGGATAAGTAAACAACATCATCAAAGGCCTACCACGCAACAAAGCTCCGGGATCCGACGATATTTCCAACCCGGTACTCCGACACTTCTCTGACAAGACCCTCTTGACGTTGACCAAAATGTTCAACTAGTGCTCATATATCAATACTTCTCTGCTCCATGAAATCAGCCACAGTTATAATGATCTGAAATCAGGCAAAGCTCTCAAAAACCTAAGTAACCACCGACCTATAGCACTCATCCACTTAATGACCAAGGTCCTGGAAATAATAATCCTGATCCAATCGAAAAAGGTCATATCTACTTCTATCCAACCCGACCTAAATGCCTTCAGACTACAGTCTACAACACTCTACGACCAATCCACTGACGAAAGTCATCGACCTCCTAGCCTACACAAAAACAGAGAAGATAGAACAGCGGCAGTATTCCTGGACTTCGAGAAAGCTTTCGACAGTGTGACACTACGGATTACTGCTAAAACTACTCCAGCTATACGTACCACGATAGCTGGTCAGCCTGGTATAATCATTTATTTCAAACAGGACATACTCGGTCCGAGACGGCTACGCCTTCTCATCACCAAAAACATCGATTGCAGGCTTCCCTATTATGTCTATCGCTTATTTTGTTCATATCATACATAAACGATATGCCTTCCACTCCCGGAATTTAGACTAACCTCTTGGAAAACGATACCATGTTTTTGGCAACCAGCATGGGCTTGCAGCATGCAGTGGACGATAGACGCAAATTGACGTAACGATCTAGCGATTAAGTTCGGGAGAAAAGGCCTAAAAACATGACATCATTACAAATCCACAACAAAGAGATCAGCTGGAAACCCGCAGTCAAATATCTTGGAATCTTGGAGTCTACTTAGATAGTGAACTTCGTTTCAACCGTCACGTCACTGAAACCGCACAAGAAGCAAGACGCACTCGAGCAGCACATTGGCCCGTTCTCAACCACCAGAGTCCGATTCCAGTTCAAACAAAGCTCTAGATCAGCAAAATGTACATCAAAACCATAATTACATACGCCACCCCAGCATGGGGAGCACTAATATCCAAATCAAACTGGAGACAACTAGTGGCAGTAGAAAACATAGCCCTCCGAACAATCAACGACTAAAATTGGTTTGTCAGAAACACCGTAATTTCAAACTCAACTCAAATTCCCTCGATCCAATCAACCATCATTCAAAACTCAAAAAATATGTTCTTCAAATTACAACAGTGTTCAACTACAAAACATAGGCCAAACCAGTGGCTCAGCTGAACGTAACAGGAAAAGACCCGGATAACTGACCAGTCGTATATAGAAATCACCTCAACCACTCCACCTCCTGCTTTGAGTCATGGGGCTAAACTCCCGAAACTCAGGAAAAGGACTATTAAAAAGTAACGCCAATCATGCAAATATGAATCATGATAACAACTACCTAAATTACATAATAAGCACATGGAAAATATTACTTATATCAAACTCAATAAAACAATAAAATAGCATAGTTAAATTTAAAATTTAGTTTATGAACATACATGGTTCTTCATGAGATCATACTAAATATATATTAATGTATAATAATAAAATGTAAATGTAATAATAGCTAGGCTAGCTTCATTTTTTTATAATAGTTCAAATTTTTTTTTATTACATAACAGTTAGTAATGTAACGAGCTGTGACTACGTATATATTAATAATAGTAATAATATATAAAATATTATATTGCATTAGGTAAAGTACGATTGTAATATATATATATATATATATATTATGTTCAACAATAGACGTAAATGCTACAGGTAGCGCGTAATAGTAATAATATCAGCATCCGAGCGGTTGCATTAAAGAGAACTAATTAATAACGGCCACATCAATAAGAACACGTGATAAGTATAAGCGCGCAATATCCATATACTAGGAAAAGATATTCTAGGAAAGACATATCCTAGGAAAGGATGTTTCTAGGGAACATTTAATCGGTAGTTAACATTGTTTTCGTAAAAGACGTCAGAAATTACCTCAGGCGTGTACCATGATTATACTAAAAATGCTATAGGAGGTATCTATTAGGAATACCGACGAGATACGTCGATGGACAAGTGTCCATCAGACGAACACCAGCCGAGCGGACGAGCACCAGCAGAGCAGCCAACAAGTCGATACTAAGTCACAACTCGTTTACCACATTTTTATAAGTTAATTATTTGGACTTTGTCTATTTTACGTGTTAAATAAATACTACTAAACTATCATTATAAAATCAACTTGTTATTTTATTCAAAATACAATCAATACTGAGTTGAAGTGGTTGGCACGTTACAGTAATATCCATGACAAATTAATATAATTACATTTTAAAGTCATGAAAATAGTCCGAAATATGGTATTATGGATATTAATTATTAACTCGATAACACAGCTTTCTTTACTATCACAAAGAAGTCAAAAGCAGCTATCTTGAACTTTGGCGGGAAATTACAATCATGTGGATATGGATAGGCTTATCATATAATATATTTTTTTTAATTTTTATATAATTGTTGGTTTTTTTTAATAAACAACATTATATTTTAATACGAATTAAAGATATAATTTTAATTTTAAAGGATTAAACAATTTTGGCATTAGCACTTTTTGAATTAAATGTAGTTTAATTGCTATATCAATAACACGAACAATAACACGTTTTGATGTAAAATAGAAATAAGATAAATTAAATTATGGATGTACTACGTTTTGGGAAAAAAAAATGAGAAGTATGACCTATGATTTAGTACAGGAAATAACAGTTTTAATCGATTTCTCAAAAGTTTTTCCGTAAGAATCGATGTAAACTCGATTTGATTTAAAATGCATATAACACGTATTGCATAGAAACACCTCAATTGGGCACTTGTGCGCACGTGAACTGGTTTACTAGTGTACAATACGGTGTGCTCAAAGTTTTTAGTATATAGCATTCCGACATTCGTAGACGGTAGACCGTAGTAAGTCCTTAGTTCTATAAATAACTAGTTATTTATTGTTATTATTGTTATCAGCATAATATTTACACCACCGCCCCCTTGCTATAACGTATCCTGCTGGCAAACAGCGCACGAGTGTAAGATTCGTCAAACTCTAATAACATTTCATTCAGTGCTCTTCGTAATATCATCGTATTACCGTATTGGTTAACAGTTATTTCATTTAAGTCATCTAGTTTGATAATTTCAGTACATTCCCATTTGAAAACTATATGAAAGTTCTTGAAAGTATGCTGAGGAAGCCCAATAAGTCTTTAGAAGTAATAATAAGATATAATAAAAATGGAAACTTTAGTCTAAATAAAAATGAAACCGTAAAAAATGATGAACATGGCTTATTATTAGGACCACATAATGATGGACCTTTATTAAGTGGATGCTTTAATCCACAATATTCAGCTCTTTAATTTTGGACTGTTTTAAAATTAAATGTAAAATAAATGCTGTTTCTTATTTTGTTTCTGAAAACAATGAAGTTTTAAAACTAATTAATATTCCTCACTCACATAACACTTGTGCAGTGGTTTAGATTGGAAGAAAGTTTGAAATTAAGGAAATATTTAATGATAAACCTATAAGATCATCTTCCTTTGGAATATATATCGTTAAACAATTATCAACTAATTTATGTATGTGGATATCTTTATAATGATATTCAAAATAAAGTTATACTATTATCATGCAATAAAGATTGAATTTAACCCTTTATTCATTCATCATAGTTGAGAAATTTAAGTTCGTATAAAAAAAATATTTAAAATGTAGATTGTTAATTTTTTATAAATATCTGTTTTATTTGTATCAACTATATTTATCAATTAAGAATAATTTGTATCGATGTACCAAATAGTAACCTACACATTTTAAATATTATGTAGACAGTTTTTCATTAAATTATGCTAAAATTGTAATACGTACTCCTCTTTGAAAACTTCTACAAAGGTGAATTTTTTGGTCTATGTATGCAAAATTCCAATTATACAAGTAAATATAGTGTTTTATTACAAATAAAAATTATTTAAATATCCCCTAATATATTAAGTTAATTAAGTAAACCGTTTATAAATTATCTCTAATTTTTTTTTTTTAATTTTTAAGTTATTTTTTCAAGTAATGCTCAAACTACATTTACCTATATTGTATTTTTTCGTATTAGATGAGCTTGTTAGCAGACAGACAATTTGGTTTTCTTTGACCAATAAGGAACATTAAAGATTTTAGTTTTGCAAAATTAATTTTAATATTTTATGTTTTTAACCTTAATATTATAGTGAATTGACAATAGGTCATATAATCAAACTTAAATGTAAGAATATTATCTAGGGTACACCATATGTTTTAATTGATAAATATTTTAATTTTAAAAAACACACATAGTTTTAATGCTAATTTTAACTATGCTTAGTAGCATGAATGGTAATTTTGATGAATGTATACAGTACTATAAATTATTTGAGAGTATTAAACAAAAGTGATGGAATTCCAAATTTTATTAAAAATAGTTATATATAATATTATATAAAATAACAAAACTATAAAAGAAAATAATAACTGTTTACAATTTATAAATGAAAAAATAATGGGTATAATGAAGCAAGTCCTGCAATATCAATATCACTAATCATCTCTACTTTCAACGCAAGTAGTAAATAATATAAAAATTTAATTACAGTCAAATGTGCAGAATTTTCAACCCTACAAATATATTATTCTATTTTTGATAGATTCAATGACTCAGGGGCTAAAAAAAGAACAAAACAAAAAAAAAACAAGAAGAATTTTCAAAGAAACAATGGTGCATTAAATACATTTAAAGGTTTTAATTTAAAATCAACTACTTCTTCAAAAGATAATAGTAAAGATAAATACTTTTCCACATTCTGAAGTTTCTATAAATAACATCAATCCGAGTATTTCAAATATATCTTGTACTTCAACCTCTTACAGTACGATTGAAAAAGATCAAATAGATAATAGTTTTTTAAATATTAAGAATTTTAATAACATAAAAGCGCCAATCATTTCTACTAGATCATGTTTTTCATCTGCTCAATCAACTTCAATAATTAAAATATGTACTCCAGAAAAAAGCAACAATACAAAACAAAACTTACAAAGAAAATAATAACTGCTTACAATTTTTAAATGAAATAATAATGGGAAAAACAACATAATAATTAGGTATTATAAGTATAACAATTTTACTGAAAAATCTAAAACCAATGCACACTTTTCTGGCAATCATTTTATTCACAAAATCTTAGATTTAAGCCATCAATTAATGGGTATCACCCTGGAGTTTAAAAAAAATTTTAATCAGGGAATAGTCCTTGGACCTAAATTATTTATTACCTACAAAAACCGCTCACAGAAGCTTAAAGTTGATGTCAATTCATTTTGTTTTAATGATCATACCGTCATATTATATAAAGAGAAAAATATTAAATGTTTATACAACAAAGATAACCAGGTTTTTAAAATTGTTAAATTATGGTTTGACAATAATTTTCTAGAACTTAACCTTGAGAAAACTGAACCCATTAATCTCAGCAAAGAAAATCACACCATTAAAAACGATATAAAACTATTAATCATATTTTGTATTTAAATTATTTATAAACTGTTCCTGTAATGATATAGACATATCGATAGTGTAAATAAATTAGGTTAACACAAGGACAGTCAATTAAAAGGTAAATCAATATTGATTATGTGATCCGTTACCTATAAGAAAACATTTTTGTATACAGTAAGTTCTCGTTACAACGAACTCCAAGGGACCACATTTTTTTTTCGTTATAACGGAAATTTCGTTGTAAGGTCATTAGAAAAGCTTAATAGCTTTTCTGTAGGGGACTTCTAGGACTTTCGTTATAACGGGATTTTTCGTTGTATCGGTATTCGTTGTAACGGGAACTTACTGTATTTATAAGCATAAACATTAGGGATTTATATGATATACAAAATCTACAATTAATATATCTCTCCATTGTACATACTTTTATTACTTTTGTTATCGAAAGATAGGGAGGGAATTTCAATTCCCATTTTACTAAGTTAAAAACAACTATGAACAAAATTATTATATATTATATACCAGTGAAGCCAAATTTGTATTATAATACAGATCCAACTTATTAAGACTAGGTATAATGTATTTAATTTAGATATGCTTTTGAAAAAAAAAAGTATTATTTTTAGTGTACAAAAATAAAAAAGGTGGGTAAGTGGATGTCGCTCTGCTGTACTGTACGTTACAATTGGGTCACTGTATAATGGATGGTATTAAATTTGAATGCAATGATATAATATCAATGTATAAGAAAAACGATTCTGAGCGGAGACGGTATGTCAGTCTAGGTATAAGACATATTGTATACTTTTCTATGGCATTAAATTATAGGTATGGAATTTATGAATAAATTCCTTAAAATATGCACAGTCGTATCATGAGCATACTTCTTATTCCTTATACTATGGTAGATTGTATTCATAGGCCATAATATTTTGATTTTTCAGTTTCATATTATATCCCCGATTAATATTTTTAAATTACAACAAAAAATCAAGATCGTTAATATTGATTTTAATCAATTTTCGTCCAAATTTGAATTTAAAATGTCTGTAAAAAATAACTGTGTTCATAAATTTTTTAGATTTGTTGGTTACAGTATGAACTATTTATGAGAACCTTTGTTTTAAATTTACAATCTTTAGCTTTAAAAACTGAACATTTTATAATTTATTAATTACAATGATTGATAATTTTCGAGATTTTGATAAATTTTGTCAAAGTTCGATGTTTAAATGCTTATAAAAAAAAATTGTGCCTATGTATTTTTAATATTTTTCAACTGCTACTGTAACAATATATCAGGAACCTTGTATTAAATTTTTACACTTTTTGGCCCAACAGATGAAACTTTATTGATATTTATAGAAAAAAAAACTAAAAAAATTGAAAACTGAAAATGTCCGTAAACAGCTCAAAAAGAGTCGAAATTTTTCAAAATTGTACAGTGTATAGGAAATGCTAATCTGAACATTCAGTGAAATTTTAATGTATCTATAGTAGTTATTCGTTTTTGAATTACAACAAAATAAGAAAATTGGTACCTACATGAGAAATCAAGTGAATATCCAATGTTGTAAAAATTTGAATTTCAAACACTCATAAAAATTTAATTTGACTTTCCGGTAGAGATTTTTTTATTGATAAAGGTAGACAATCGTATGAGTAATCTTGTATTAGATTTTCAAATCCTAGATTTAAAAAGAAAAATTTTTACGAATTCTTAACTCAAAATAATTTGCTAATTTATGAGATTTTTCCATATTTTGTCAATTTTTGAACTTTAAATGCTTATAAAAAAAAACTGTGACTAACGATTTTTAATATTTTTCATCTGCCTTTGAAACAATATACTAGGAGCCTTTTATTAAATTTTCAAGTTTTTTTAACCAACAAATAAAATTTGATTGATATTTCTAGAAAAAAACTAAAAGAAAATGAAAAATGAAAATGTCCCTAAACAGTTCAAAATAAATCAAAATATTTTGAAAATGTTATCGTGTATAGAAAACGCAAATATAAACAACCAGTGAAAATTTCATGTATCTACGGTCATTTTTTTTAAAGTTACACCAAAAACCAAATTCAATTTTCTGAAAAATCGATTTTGGGTAAAAATTCCCTTTTTTCCTTAATTTTTCTTTTGTTTTTCTTGGCGCTTTTGAAAAGTACTGGGAATTTTGACCTCCCCAATGCACCAACGATATTCACTTTCCAATCGAACAAGATACTGAAGTCGAAAATCGAAGCATTATTTCGACTACTTATCGTGTACAGACACAAAAAAAAAATAAAAAAAATATAAAAACACACATCATTGTAAAATCAATACATTCATCGTTCCACTCAGAATCTAAAATTATATTTGTAGTGTGCATGACAATAATATTAAGTATACAAAAAATATTGTTGTGATTTAAACAATTCGTAAAGTCTTTAATTAAAAATTGTATTATTATCACAGTTGAGAGGTATTATGTAAATCTTTAAATATTAAAATTAACCAATATATCAATCATTATATCTTTAAGAAAGCTTTAGTAAAATTAATGTAATATTCAAGTTAAGTTAATTTATTTTAAACGCTGATAATCTGGTAAAATATAAAATCGGTTTACAGTATTATGATTATAGCTTTGGAAAGCTTTTATTTCTATTATAATTTTTCTCAAATTAATTGTTAATTGTATTTTTGCTTATTAGTTAGGTTAGTATCATTAAATTTCATATTATGCTATGAAGTAAATATAATTCTCACTCCATTTGTAATAATTGTTTGTCATCATTTTTGTCTGTATCTTCAATAAATTCTTGTTTAATAACTCTATATTAAAAATAAAATAATTTCAAATGTAGGAAAAATTTTCACATTTTTGTAATGTTTGGCCGCCTAATTGTGTATTTACTTACTTTGAATTTACTGCAGAATCATAAATAGACATTCTTAATGGTACCGTACTGAATATCCTTAGTGGCTTAGTGTATCTCAATAACTGTGAACCTAAACCATTTAAATAACGTGTTCGAGCACCATCGACATTTGAAATTGTACGTTACTACGCGCCATTTTGGCCCGTGAAGTTGCCAGCACTGCTTACAGCTGACGAGACTTGTCAGTTGCCCGTTAGGCCGTTGATGTTCGGTCGGCGAGACTCCGTCGCCATCACTTCTGTTTTTCGTTCCGAATTGGTTTGTTCGAGTAGTTCATCCCGACTTTAGTTTGAACGAGCAAAACCACGTTTTGGCACAAACAAAAAGTAAGTCTTCGATGATTTTGTGTTTGTATCCGTTCGCATCCGTCTCGCACCCAAAAGCGAGACACGGCAGATCAGCCATACAGCAGCTCAGCTACCCCGACGGCAGTTCGGCCATACTAGCAGTCAGTTACACCGACGGTCACACCGACCACATAGCAGTTCAGCTACCCAGACGGCAGATCAGCCATACAGCAGCTCAGCAGACACCAGCCTGTTCCGGAGTGGTTCAATGATTGTACCCCCTTTGTCATTAATTATTTACATTGTGTCATCATAATATAAACCAATATTATAGCAATATAATTAAAGGTCTATTTATTTTAGAAACTTGTTGTGTTCACCTGGGAACGTCCAGTTGAGGTGAGGCTGCCGGCGTTAACTTAGCATTAGTGCGCACGTGGCCAACATTTGGTAGCAGGGCGTGGTTGAATAAGGATCTTCTCTTCTGGCTGTTACTTGGTGAGCTTACCTCTGTTTATTATATTAAGGTGTTACTCCCTCCCATTGTAGTGTTATGATTATGACTATCGGTGGGTAACAGTAGCATTTAGTGTCAGCAGTCCGTTGATCCACGGACGTGGCATCTTATAACGTTGTTGAACGTGGATTACTATAACTACTGTAATTGGTGGTTAAATAATTGTCAACGCTTTTTATGCCATTGGCCGTTAGTACTGTGGTTGAAGTGTCAACAGTTATGTGTGTATTCTTATAACTATTAGGCACCTGTTAATTATTAGGCTGTTGCATTTAATTAATTAATTTATTAAAGACTGATCAGTTTAAATATTTTATACCTCAGTATTGTTAGTTTAGTACCTTAGTAGGTTTTCTCTTAACATTAATAATTAGGATTTGTTATTTATACCTATTATATTAGTGTTAATAACCTAATATTTTTAGTTGGATCACACATTTTATTGTTGACCTAACAAGGTTATTATGTTTTGTTAAATTTAAACTGGTTAAAATTTCCTTGTTATTACTATTGGTATTATTACTACCCAGTACTATTGTAGGTAGCTACCGCATTATTTTATTGTTTATTAGTAGTAATTTGGTATGTTTATGTGAACCTTACATGATCTCTTGTTCTATTAGTTGATTATTATAATTATATTATCTACTATTCTATTGTGGTTACCAGTTAGTTGAATTGGTATTCTTTAAATTTATGTTAATTAAGTACTGATCATTATTGACGGTAGATAAATAATTGGTTAGGATTGGAATTGCTGATATATGTGCAATCACACTGGACTGTTATCTCTAGCATACCACTTATATTAGTTCTAAATTAGTTTGTGTTACTTTATGCTCATCGGGTCGTTGTGTTAGCTCCCTGTAGGTGTGTGCAGTTGTTATCTTGCCACCATGTCAGACGAAGAGATCAAGACTCGCAACATAAGACTGAAACAGCGTGCTACAGCTAAGCGAGACCTTGCTGCAAGTCATATTCGTCGCCTACATGCCTCAACAACAGCAGCAGGAAATGATCCAACAGCAAGGAGTCTAGTTATGACAGCAGTTCAGGACCTGAATAATTGGTGGTCACAATACTCAGTAGAAAGTGATGCGTTATTGAACGTTATGGTTGAGTTGGACGAAATAGATCAATTTTCTCCAGATGCTGATGCTGCTGTCTACGCCTTAGTGGTAGAAATCAAATCAACTGTCAATAGTTACGAGCAGGAAGCCTCAAAGTCATCTAAAGACTCTCAACCAGTTACACAGATCAGTGATACGGCATTAATAGCAAATCCAGCTGAAGATCATCAGTCGGTTACACAAACTAGTAACGCAGCCATACTTCCAAAGACAGTCTCCGTCATGGAAACACAGTCGTCATCTCGTGTGAGTGGTCCTCCGTCTTCAGATGCCTCCTTCCGTCCTCAAGTATCAATGCGCCTTCCGGAAATCCCTCTGCCAAAATTTGACGGTGATCTCCGTTCGTGGCCAGACTTCCGGGACCGCTTTGTAGATCTTGTAATCCGCAACACGGACATTGATTCAGACAGCACCAGATTTTACTATTTACTTGGGTGCCTTCAAGCTGATGCGGGTGAAGTACTAAAAGGGATTCCGGTGACCAAAGACACCTTCCAGTTGGCTTGGAACACGTTAGTAAAGTCATACGATAAACCAAGAAAACTGGCCTCGTCAATCATTGAGGGTTTTTTGGTTGCTCCCGTATCCACTTCAGAATCGCTGGTGGATCTCAAACGTTTCTTGAGTGTATTTGATGAAGGACTAGCAATATTGGAATCGTTGCACTTGCCAGACCTGTGTTCGTTCCTGCTGTTTACCATTGCTTCAAAATCCCTTCCAACTCATACGCGTCGCTTGTTTGAATCAGATAATTCTTCGGAGTACCCATCAGTGGACAGTGTACTGGAATTTGTAAAGAATAGGGTGAGAGTGCTAGAAAATGCTGGTGGTACTTCAGGGCCAGGGAAGTCGTTTGGTGGTAGCAACAAGAAACCTAATCCAGGTCCAATGAAGCATTACAATCGCCCATCGACCAGCCAGACAGCATTGGTTTCATCTGTAAAGACCCAGAAACCTAAAGCTACTGAATCCGACAGGTGTCGGTGCTGTGGGGGAGCTCATGCATTAAAAGACTGTGCAAAATTTTTGGGATTATCGGTAGATGATCGATACCAAATTGTGTGCTCTCACAGACTATGCTTGGTATGCTTTGAAAGTGGTCATATGTCATATAAATGCAAGTCATCCTGTAGTGTGTGCAAACGTCGTCATCATGGGCTATTGCATAAGGACCCTTCTACGTCTGATCCGTCGTCCAAGGTCCCTAAAGTGGCTATGTTTGTCAGCCATCAAAATCAACTGCCATCTGTAGTACTAGCAACTGCACTACTTCATGTCCAAGATGTGGCTGGAAGTCCACAGACGGTTCGGGCCTTGATTGATGGCGGCTCTCAGATCAGTGCCATATCTGCAAATTGTTGTCAACGACTAGGTCTACGAGCTGCAAAATGGACGTTACCAGTCACTGGGTTATCAGAGTTACCTGTGCCAAGCGTTTTGGGTATTGTAGATCTACATATCCAACCTCGGGATTCAAGTCAATCTTCAATGCCTGTAAGAGCTTGGGTACTATCTTCCATAACTTCAGATATGCCCACCTCAAAACTACCGTCAACGGTTCGGGAAAGATGTGGAAATTTGTCATTAGCTGATCCGCTGTTTGATGTCCCGGCTCCGGTCGAAATTTTGTTGGGTGCAGACATATACCCTATGGTCTGGTCTCACGAAACTGTCTCGTTAGGTCATGGATATCCAACTGCGTTCAGTTCCATTTTCGGTTGGGCAATAGTAGGTCCACTTCAATACATAAAGGCTCCAAATCCTAGGGCTCTACCTGTTCAGATATCTTCATCAGTTGAATCCCTAATGGAAAGATTTTGGAACGTTGAGGAACCGTTGAGGAACCCCGTTGAGGAAGCTGCTCCGCCCGTGTTCACTCAAGAGGGTCAGTGTGAAGAAATCTTTCTGTCAGAGATGTACAAGAATAGTAAAGGACAGTACATGGTCCCATTGCCGTTCCGTGATGGTCAACCTAGTTCTTTTCCTGGAATGCGACAAATTGCAGTTAATCGTCTGTTACAATTGGAGCGCAAACTATCTCGAGACCCTGTGTTGTATGATAACTACAGAAAGTTCATGGAGGAATATGAGTCGTTAGGACACATGTCGGAGGCAGATTCATCAGGAGTCTACTACATCCCTCACCATGCTGTTTACAAGGCCGAAGGGGAAAATATGAAATTAAGAGTGGTTTTTGACGCTTCTGCTCGTTGCAGATCCGGCTCCTCACTGAATGAGCGTCTCCATGTTGGCCCAAAGTTACAGCAAGACATAGTGGATGTCCTAACTGGCTTTAGAGTCCATTCCGTCGCGTTTACCACAGATATCTGTAAAATGTACCGCCAGATTTGGGTGCTAGAAAAGTACCGCGGATACCAGCATATACTGTGGAGAAATTCTCCACAGCTCCAGATCCGGGAGTACACGTTGAATACGGTGACGTATGGGGTAAACAGTGCTCCTTATTTAGCGCTTCGGGTCCTTCGTCATATAGCTGATCATGATTGTGAGGAGGTCCCTGAAGTTAGTAAGGCGCTCAAATCCCAGACATACATGGACGACATCTGTGTTGGGGCACCATCGTTGGAATGTGCTTTATCGTTGAAGTCTGATTTAATCAAAACGTTATCCAGATCGGGATTAATGTTAAAAAAATGGTCTAGCAATGAACCGCGGTTGCTATCAGGTCTCCCGCTGGAAGACTTAGCAGGTGATCCCCTCACATTTGACCGTGGTGACGGCATTCCTGTGCTAGGTATGCAATGGCGTCCAACAGCTGATCATTTCGCATACGATATTACCGCAATCAAGTCAGTTTTGTCCAAACGTGGGGTCCTATCGGTAATCGCGAGGATCTTTGACCCGTTAGGGTTTCTATCGCCTGTTATTTTCCATGCCAAGTGTATTATGCAACGATTATGGTCTGCTCAAACTTCCTGGGATGAGCCATTACCGCCAGTCATTGCTAAGGAATGGCAACAATTCATGGACATGCTAGGTTGGCTGGCAGAGATCCGCATTCCACGTTGTATTGGTGGTTCCACCGGGATAGAATACTCGTTATGCGGTTTTTGCGATGCCTCTGAAAGAGGTTATGCTGCAGTTTTGTACCTTCGTGTGACTGATCCGTCTCAGAAGGTAAACGTGTACTTGCTCGGAGCAAAAACCAAACTGGCACCGTTAAAAACGACCACGATACCCAGATTGGAGTTATGTGGAGCTGTTTTGTTGGCTTCCTGGTTATCACGTATGCATCGGATACTTGAAGCGCATATGAAGATATCAGGTGTTTATGCTTGGTCGGATTCAACCATAGTCCTTTCTTGGTTACTAAATCCTCACGTTGCCTTGAAGGTCTTTGTGTCCAATCGCGTCCACCATATCAAGACTTTGCTTCCAGTCTGCAAGTGGGCTCATGTCAGATCTGAAGAAAACCCGGCTGATTGTGCGTCACGGGGACTGACTCCGGCAGAAATTGTAAACGCTCAGCTGTATTGGTCCGGTCCAGAATTTTTAAGATTCGCAGTCGATCATTGGGACCTCCATCCAACTACCATACCAGGTGACCAGCTACCGGAAGTCCACCCAGTATCCCTGGTGATTACGACACCAATAAGGAAAGGAGAGTGGTTTACGCGGTTTTCATCATACAGCATCATGATTCGTGTAATAGCACGACTGCGTCGATTCATTTTAAGATGTAGACGGCAAGAAACTGTTTCTGGTCATTTGACACGTTCAGAGCTAGATGAGGCCTTGTACGTGGCAGTCAAATGTACTCAGGAATGCATGTTGAGTTCTCTACTTCGGGAATTGTCAAGTGGCAGCTCGGTCTCTTCAAGGGTGTATGCTAAACTTAGCCCCTTTATCGATGAATTTGGTGTTATTCGAGTGGGTGGTCGGCTGCAGAATGCCATGTGCTCTTGGGATCGCAAGCACCCAATACTATTGCCTAAAGAATCGCATTTATCCGCGTTGATTGCACGCCATTGTCACTTAAGTGCATGTCATGCCCGATCAAGGCTCCTTATCACTTTAATCAATAGTCGTTTCTGGATCATGGGCGTACGCCGGGTGGCCTATAAGGCTATCAAGTCCTGCATTACTTGTGTAAAGTTGGATGCAGTGAATCCTCAACCAAAAATGGCTGATCTGCCTGTATCAAGAGTACAAGCCTGTCGAGCATTCACAGCAGTGGGAATTGACTACGCGGGACCATTATCAATGAGAGAAACAAAGTTACGAAAAGCTCGCGAATACAAGGTTTACATAGCCTTATTTGTTTGTATGAGTACAAAGGCTATTCATCTTGAAGTTGTACTTGACCTATCAACTGATGCCTTCTTAGCGGCACTGGACAGATTTGTTGCCCGGCGAGGTGTGCCAACATCAATCCACTCGGATTGTGGGACAAACTTTGTTGGGGCTGCTCGCAAGCTGAAAGAGTTGATCAACTCGCCCTCGAGTAGGGATCAATGTTCCAGTCGTCTGATGTGTCACTGGAACTTTAACCCGCCTAGTGCACCCCACTTTGGAGGACTTTGGGAGGCTGCGGTAAAGTCTACCAAATCATTGCTGACAAGGTCATTGGGGGCACAGACTTGGACTTTGGAAGAGTTTTCTACAATCCTATGTCGGGTTGAAGCTGCGCTGAACTCCAGACCGTTAACTCCTGTGACCCCAGATCCGGAAGACTTGGACTGTTTGACCCCAGGCCATTTTTTGATTGGTCAACCATTGATGTCAGTTCCTGAGGAGGAACTCTGTGGGAAGCCAATGAATCTACAGCGACGTTGGAAGCTCCTTCAGCAAACGTTTCAGACTTTTTGGCGAAGATGGTCGTCAGAATACCTGAATACTCTGCAAGCTAGGAGTCGCTGGTTGTCAAGCCAAGAAAATATGAAGGTAGGAGACATGGTGGTCATAAAAGATGGCACTGCACCCCCACTTCTGTGGCGTTTGGGGCGTATCCTTGAGGTGATGCCTAGTAAGGATTGTCGCGGTCGTTATCGCAACGGCCGCGGTGTCTCTATCGACGTCCGCGAGATCGCGACCGACAACCGGTCTGGCCGCCGCCTGCGGCACGGCCGCCGGCCCGGCCAGCGTCGGTGGCGACGGGTGGCATCTCTCGTCGGACCGTTGTCAACGCCGCACGCGTATTATTATAATTTATAATCATAATTAACTATATATATTACCTGGGCAATATACGTCGTAAGTACCTACTTAACGTGTTCGTCGTCGTTTGTTATTTACAACCCCTACAAACCGTTCCATTACCTACATTGGCGCAGTCGGAACAGGAGTAAGGTAAGTGCTAATTTTAATAAAAAATAATTTTACGTAAATTAAAGTAAATTAGCACATATCGGGTTAAAAGAACCTACAATAGGTGTCCTGGTCATACCGGTTCCTAATATTTTTTTTTTTATTCTGATTTTTTATTATAAATAAAATATTAAGGGCTTGTCCAATCTAAGGTGGTAAATTGTAGCAAAATTTGCATAATTTAGCGTAATTCCTACAGTGCTAAACTTGGTTTAGGCTATTTATAGATTGGAAAGTACATATCTCTACCAGCGATAGCCCGAGTTACGTAATCTCATATCTAACGTACTTTAATTAGGTAGATAATAGCAGTTAAATTTAATAATCACAATGGGTACGAAACACATTGGTGAATTAACTATTGCTGAGATTAACCGGGAGTTACATAAGCGTGGTATTGAGACCGGGGGGTCCAAGGCCGATAAACTCTTAGCATTAGAAGAGTATATTAGGGCTAAGGAAAATTTGGATCCAGGATCAGTACGGTTTGGGGAAACTGACGAGACGTCAGCCCAGGTACCGGAAGGGAAAACATCGGTGGCTCAAACTGGGGAGGAGGAGGTCGACTCTGAAAAGAGTTTGATAAACCAGTTTATGGAGCAGATGTTAGATAGGCTGGAGGGGTTGGAAGCAACGGTCGACAAGCAGCAACTGACAATCGCTACTCTCAGCGAGAGCGTGGAACGCTTGGAGCGGGAGTTAGCCGAAGAAAAGCTCAAGTCGACCGAACGGGTGGAGCAAGCAAGTTGCTCATGCCGTGGAAATACCCAACAACCATCAACCAGCGACTTATCCGGGGCAAATCAGAGTTGCTCGGACGAAAGTCAAAATCGTCCGGTCAAAACTCAAAAAATGAGTTTTGAGAGCCGATGGGCGAACATACGGAGCAGATTGACCGGGGAAAACCCGAGAAATCGGAGTGTTTCCGGAGGTTCCGGTAACCAGTCCGGAGTGTCCGGTGAAATGTCCGGAGTCTTCGGTAATCTGTCCGGAGTGTCCGGTGAAGTTTCCGGCAGAAGTCATGAGGAAGCGTTACGGAGTAGTTTTTCCGGTGTAAAACGCGTGCATTTCCCGGATAGCCTGCTCATTCCTCAAAATGAGTTGAATATGGCCCGTGCGTCGATACCAGAGTTTGCCGGTAAGAGGGAGGAAGACCCAGTGCGGTTTTTGCTCCAGGCCGAGGCAATACTTGAAGAAACTGGTATCCACAAGGCTAGATGGGTGACCGTTTTGGCTCCTCAGCTGAAGGCTCAGGCAGGAACATGGTGGGGAACCATGAGAGCGTTGGACTTACCATGGCAAGAGTTCAGGTCCGAACTATTGGAGAAGTTCAACGGGGACGAGTTGCAGTCGAGTCTGCAATCAGAATTGTTGAGCACCGCTCAGACCAAGACCGAAACACTGGGGGAGTATGTCCTACACAAGTACCAGTTGTATCGGCGGTTAAACCTTGGTCTGACAGAAGAGGCGGTGGTAATGACAGTGATTGGACTCATGCGTGATGAATTCAGAATTCATGCACGTATACAGCGACTGAAATCGTTCAGCGAATTACGAGCGCTTGCCCATGTTCTGGATGGTAGCAAGGCCGTAATTACGGATAAGGCGGGAGTGAGCACCAGCGTACCACCAAAGTCAAAATGGTTGGATAGACGAAAAGCTGAGAGTGCAGAGAAATCCCAAGTGCCAAATCCGAAGCAACGACTATCTTCGGGAGCAGGATGCAGAGTATGTGGTAGTCATGACCACTGGCAAGCTGCATGTCCGAAAAGAAAGTCGGAGTCGGGAAACGCCAAAACGACCGGCGGGACCGCCGGGTCCCGACCGGCCAGGAAGTAACCGGCGAAAAAGTCACGAGTCGTCCGAAGAGTGGTAAGCAACGAAGTTCAACTCGGGCAGTGAGTAACGTTCCGGAGCAGGAACCACAAATTACAAGAACTGACCCGAAGAAACGGAACTTCGGAGCGTTACGGACCGGAGACTCGGGAAAGGGCCCGAGGAAATCGGACCAAAAGAGTTCTGAACCGGTAAAATCTGGTAAGAACGTAATTCCTCCGGAGGAAAACTTTGGTCACCCGAAGGAAACCTCCGGAGTGAGGAGTTGTCCGGTGAAAACCGTCGAGCCTCCGGAGAGACGCCGGAGAAATCGCCGAGGCCACCCGAGAAAACCCATTGAAAACGACGTTCCGGTAAAGGAACCACAGTTCGTGACAATGGACCGGGTAAATGGTTCAGTGATGGAAACGGATTTCGACCAGCGGGACAACAGGTCGGGAAAATCGTTTAGGATTGAAAGTGTTCCGGACAAAAGTGAAAATCTCACCGAGGTGAGGGATCTTTCCAATAAAAATGTCGCGGACAGCATTTCAAGTGATGCGGAACAAGATGAGTTAACACAGGAGTTGTTAATTTGTCCGGTCACAGCCGAAGATTTTTCCGAGGAGTTTATTCCTTATCCACGGGAAAAGTGCAAGAGGAGAAACTCAGATACAGACTCAAAGTTCGAGTTGAGAGAACGCTTTTGGGGTCTACGGACCGGAGTGTTAGAGTCTCCAGCCATTGCAACGGTGTCAACGGGGAAAACTACAGTAACGGATGTTCCGTTACCGGCCATAGAACTAGAGTTTGCACTCGGGGCAGTAGTAGCGCTACTGGACTCCCAAGCGGCGAGGACATACGTCAAACCGTGGGTGGCAAATAAGTTTGGCCGGAGTTTTACCGAAGAACCGGAGATTGTCCGGATGGCGGACGGTCGGACCCGAGAAATTACGGAGTTTTCCGAATTTCGGGCCCGGATAGTGGATCTGGAGGTAAGCTTCAGGGCAGCAGTGTTAGACGATCTCATCGGAGATGTCTTCCTGGGCCATGATTTCCTCGTGGAGCAACAAGTCGCTTGGGACTATAGCGGTTGCATAATCCACCTGGGGAAAGAAAGACGTGTTTCCGTGAGTTGGAGAAATCCAGTAACTCCGGTCACCGTAGGAGTGGACTTAACAACCGCAGGATTACCCGAAGGAGAGTACGGTATGCGGGTCAAAAAAGTCCTTTGCCAATATCCGGAGGTTTTCTCCGGAGAGGTAGGCAGAACTCGGGTGATAGAGCACCAGATCCGTCTCAAGGATCCAAATCCGGTGGCTCTAAACGCTTACGGGTACTCCCGAGAGAAAAACGAGGTTATTGCCGAAATGGTGAGAGACATGGAGGAACAGGGTTTTGTTGAACCTAGCATATCTCCATGGGCTGCACCGGTGGTACTCGTGAAGAAAAAGGATGGCTCACGTAGGTTTTGCGTGGACTATCGCCGTTTGAACATGCAGACGGAGTCGGACGCTCACCCGATGCCGGACCTTCATGACATGGTCCGAGGAATGGGTGGAGCGAAGATTTACAGCACCATGGATTTGAAATCAGGATATTGGCAAGTGGGTCTCTCACCAGAGACACGTCCACTCACGGCGTTCAGGACCCAAAGAGGATTATTCCAGTTTAGAGTAATGCCTTTTGGACTTAAAAACGCCCCCGCCACATTCTGTCGCTTGGTAAGCGAAGTCTTCCGTGGGTTAGTTGGTAAATTTGTGTTGGTTTATTTGGATGATATTGTGGTATACTCGGAGAGTCCCGAACAACATCTAAACCACTTGCAGAGAGTCTTGGAGCGACTCCAGTCTTACGGTCTGACGTGCCAACCGAAAAAATGTACATTCGGGGTGGCACAGATCAAATTCCTAGGTCACGTCGTGGACGGTGAAGGAATAGACCGGGAACCGGAGAAACTGACGGCAATTCAGGAATTACCGGTTCCAAAGAAGACAAAAGACGTGTTACGGGTGTTGGGCGTTTGTGGTTGGTACAGTCAGTTCGTGCCACACTACGCCGAGATCACAGCACCACTCACGAGTCTGTTGGAAAAAGGGACCAAATGGCGTTGGTCAGAAATTGAGCAAGAGGCGTTCCGGAAGTTGAAGGAGTCTTTGGTGTCCGCACCACGGCTTTGCCCTCCTCTTCCGGGTAAGCCATTCAATCTACAGACCGACGCAAGCGAAGTCGGAGTTGGTGCCGTGCTCTTCCAGCGGGGGGAGAGTGGTGACAGGAAAATCATTTCCTACGCCAGCAAGAAACTCAATCCAGCACAGGGAAGATACTCGGCAGTCGAACGTGAATGTCTAGCCATAGTTTGGGCGGTTGACAGGTTCAGGCCGTATCTTGAGTCTGGTAAGTTTATGTTATTCACAGATAACGCGGCACTCCGATGGTTACAGCAAGCTCGCTGTACCAACAGCAAACTAACGCGATGGGCACTGCAACTCGGGGCTTTCGATTTTGAAATCCGGCACGTACCCGGAGTAGAAAATGAAGCAGCCGACGCGCTATCCCGTTGTCCGGTGGGACCGAATACAGTGGACGAAGAATCGTTGGAGAACAATATCCACGATCCCCCAGTGATTCGGCCCGGAGTGTCCGGAGGAACTTCCGGAGTCTTCGGTGATCTGTCCGGCGTGTCCGGAGGATCCGGTGTGGGTGTCACCCAGTGTGGAGCGATCCAGCCGAAGAGAAATGACGGAAATGTCACATTTCAAGCTGTCCGAGAGTGGCAACAAAACGACCCGAACATAAGGGAGATAGTTACTAAACTCTCCGGAGATGGTGCAAGGTTCGGTCGGCTTCGGAAGTTGTACGTCATCCGGGACAAGGTGTTGCACCGCCACCCACGATCCATCGCGCATGGAGAAGAGGGGGTGGTCGTCCCGGTAGACAAGGCCCAGATTCTACTACAAAGGTTTCACGACCACGAAGCAGCGAATCACCCAGGGTGGAAAGAAACGTACCGAAGTATAAAGAGTCGTTTC